GATGCAGTCGATCAGGGCCTCTTGCCAGATATGGCTGCAGAAGCCTATAATTTCTTGTTTGGAAGCGTTGCTGAAAACTTTGAACGATATCTCCCGGCGGACTTGCTATCCATTAGCAACGAGATAGCAAGGTGGTCCGACGAGGTATACATAGACCAACAACGTTATCAAAAGGAGATAGCCTCGATCAAAAGACAACGCGATCGTTTAGCTGCTCAGAACATAGAGATATCGCAGAGCCTTCTAGGAGCAGAACAGAACGAGGCTGAGTACGAAAATCGGATCACCAGCCTCGAGGCAGAGATCGTTGACCTTCGTAAAGCCCAGTCAACGGTGTCGCCCCAACCCGCCTTCAAGATCCCAGACCCTGAGTTCTTTGAGAGCTCCTCCACCGGCATTTCTTGGGAACAATGGAAAGATAAAATGATGAACAAGATTCGCGCTTCTGGAAACTCCGACCCCGTCGCACAATTGGCGTATGTACACAGTCGCCTGAAGGGACCTCCTGCTGAGCAGGTACGAGCTCGTTACTGTACTGATGCTTTGAACCCTTACACTAGCGTCGAAGAAGTCTTTGCTACTTTGGAAGATATCTACGGGGACCCCAACAAGAAACAGGACGCCTGACGCAAGTATAATGCTTTATACCAAAGAGATCGGCCGTTCCCTGAGTTCTATGCCAAGTTCCAATTGTATGCGTCAACTGCTGAAATCACCGACCAGGACCAATTACTGGAAGATCTGACCTACAAGTTGAGCAACAAACTCAACGATAAGATGATCACCTCCCATGCAACTACTTTGACTGAATATGTAAAGGACTGCCAAAAATTCGATTATCTTTTGCAGCAGCTAAAGCCTGCCAAATCGCATATGGGAACCCGCAAAGGCATTTACAGAGGGACCACTATCCCTTCCCCCTCTTCCACCCCCAAAATACAGATGAAGTTCGAAAACCCGGCTGTGCTCCCCGTCAACAAAACCCCTGTTAAGAATCGCCCGGTCTATGACGATCCTGCTCGGCAAGCGCTTAGTCGTGCTGGTGCCTGCTTCCGCTGCCATCTGCCAGGACATTTAGCCCGCGATTGTCCCAACAAGGTACAAGTGATCGATGTCGACGAATCGAATGAATCGGGAAAAGAAACCCCTTAAGGAAAGACTCCTCCTTAAGGGCTCTACAGATCGGGAAACTCGATATCGATCTATGTCAGAAGAAAAAGAGAAACTTTGAATTCCCATGTACTATAGAAAAAAACGGGATAACCATCTCTGCTTTCTTTTTACCTGACACTGGAGCAAGCGGTAAAATTTACGTGAATAAAAAACTCGCCTTTGATATCGCTGAAAGAACAAACCTCCCCCTCGAACCTATTAAACCTCGTATTGTCTATAATTATAATCAACAAAAGGCTAATCCTATCACTCAACGTTTGAAAACAACCCTCACCATCGGTCATCGCAAGTTCCCTAATGTTTATCTATATGTTATAGAAGAATTAGCTTGTGATCTCATCATTGGAAGAGAGTGGTTAGCACAACAAAAGGTATTGTTGGACGTAGCCAGATCGAAGATCCTATGGCCCGGAGAACTCATGAATTCATTGGATAAGGAACCATCACGATCGATGAAAGGACCAACGCCCGAAGGAACTACACCTCATCGGATAGCATTGATCAATGCTATCGGATACCGAATGAACACCCGGAACCGGAAGAATCAATGCTTTACAGCCACAAGTTGGGAAATCGATCAGATCCTATACCAAAGGGAGCACTCTGTAGAAGATCGTCCAGAAGAAACGGAACTGGAAACGCTGCAACGAACTATCCCTAAAGAATATCATGATCTCATTGATCTCTTCTTCAAGAAAAAGGCAAATGCTCTACCCCCTCATCGGAATAGCGACCATAAAATTAGATTGACACAACCCAACAACTTAACATTGTCTCCATTATATCGACAAACGACCCAGGAATTACAAGCTTTAAAGAAGTTCATCGATGAAAACTTGAATCGGAGATGGATCGCTCCTAGTAACGCTTCGTTTGCTGCACCTATCCTCTTCGTCAAAAAGGCTAATGGGGATCTGAGGTTATGTGTAGACTATCGGAAATTAATCT